TGCCCTCGTCCAAACCAGTTTGGCAGCTCAAGGGAGACCTCCCATGGCCAAAGGGTTTCCTGATCTCCTGCAAATATCCTCCAGCATTTGCTGAGGGACACCTCCATCACATCCCCCTTTCACCTTCTGCCTTGTTTCCTTATGGCCCTGTTGATTGCATTGGAAGCAATCAAGCATCTCCAGAGCTGCCCGCCTCAGTCTCCCTCCTGTGCTGTCCCCAAGCGCTCACTGTGACACTAGTGAAAGGGAAAACACTGCCCTAAGGGTGCTTCATCCTCATTTCTCTGTGCTCCCTGATCTCAGGAAGAAAAAACCTTCAGGGTGCCCAGGGCCTGAGGAGAGCCCAAGCCTGGGGCTCTTGTGAGCCAGATCCGAGACACCCCGACCTCGCCTTCCACCTTGGTGCCCTCACCACCAGGCTGGTGAGTGAGCAACTGACAGCCTCAACCTCCTGGAGCATCCCTCCACCACATCCCTCCATCCCAGCACGCACGGAGCCCATCACCACAGCGTTGGGCAGCACATCCGCCTCCCAGCAGGGAGCTGGTGCCCGTTCCCCAGGCACCCTGCCCTGTGGGGCTCAGCCGGCTCCACTGTCAATATCGAAATACTGATATTTTTAATTGATATAATTAAATCTCATGGATCTCACGAGGATGCAGGCGTTCTGCTAAGCCCCATCTGAGCGCCGTGAGAGATGGAGCTGCCCCAGGGCCAACACCCGCTATGTTGTAGCTGTGCACAGGGAAGGGGAATGGACCGGGGTGTCCATGGCCGGCACAGGGGCTGGCTCCAGGCACGTGTCCCTGACCCAGAGCACCCACAGCTGAGAGGTGGCACCAAGACAGTCACAGTCAGGGCAACTGGGGCATGTTTAATAATGATACACACTGGGAAAGACTGTAGGGAGGAGGAAAGGTCTGGTGTTCTATTTGCCAGCTCGGAACAGCAGGTGTGGACATCCCAAAGACAGCTTTAAATGGCCCCAGTTCCACCAGCCTTGCTGGAATCAGACTGGAAGGGAGGGCTGGAGCTGGTCCCTGCTGGGACAAGTCGCAGCAAGACGCGGGGTGCATCTGGAAGGGGAACAGGAGGCAGGAGCATGCGGTGCATCTCCCCCAGAGACATGGGACCTGCACAGAGCCACTGCCTGCACCTCCCACGGCCAGAGCTGGGGTGACCTTGTGATGCAGAAATTAGACGGCGGGGTAATGAGTGACTCTCTTTTGACCCTGAGTCAAGGTGTTTTCCTTTCAGAAGGCACAGGGAAGATGTTAGCAATGGAGATGATCTCATTTCACAAAGACGAGTCATCTCAGCGACTTGCAGTAATGGCTGGGCTCGAACCCCGCAGAGTCTCTGCACCAGCCTGGCAACTTCCTTCTGGATCTCAGAGAGTCATTTTGAGGGCCACAGACAAAGAAATATATGTCAAAAGCAGATCAAATAGGCGTGTGTGTGTGTACTCTAGTCATACTTCTCCATAGCAGATTTGCCCACCAGCAGGCAGAAGAATGAGACATTTAGGTCACTTTTTCAGTTACGAGCAAATAGCATATTTAGCTCTCACCAGAGCACATCCCTGAAGGCAAACAGGGCTGGGGCTCGTCAGCACCGAGGACCCGAGGGGAGCCATGTGAGAGCAGGTGCTCCTGTGGGCCAGGCACCCCGTGGCCCTTCCAGGTCCTGCGATGTTCCACGCTCGGGCACCACGTCGCCCCGAGACCCGGCCCACGTTGTAGCAGACATCCCTCCCTTTGGGTGTGATTACCCGAAGGAGATTGAGGGCCGGACTGTATGTGGCACAGAGACAGGGTGTTGTCACCTTGCCAGAGCCCAGCCAGGGCAGCATTGCCTGGGAGAGGGTGCAGGGCACTGCACATGGGGCAGGCGTGGGCACGAGGGGAAACAGCCTTCTCCCTTCCAGAGCGCAAAGGTGGAAGGAGAAGGGGCCGGCGTTCAGCCC